AAGAATCGATATTTTCGACTACCCAAGTTTTAGATATCGTAGCAACAGTAAAATGCCAGGATAGCTTTGACAAAACATAACGACTGTAAAGTAAAATTTTGTTTTTTGGGTGAAGAGGTTTAAGATCTATTTCGGACATTAGTTCGTCAATGAGGGAAATCACTTCAGATTTATGTTTTTCATTAGTCATGTTAAAGTCGAAATGTCGTCCCAAATATAATAATAATAATAATAATAATAATAATAATAATAATAATAATAATAATAATAATAATAATAATAATAATAATAATAATAATAATAATAATAATAATAATAATAATAATAATATGTTGGAAATAATAATAATAATAATAATAATAATAATAATATGTTGGAAATAATTAGTGTAGATTATATGTAGTAATATTTAAATAAGTTTTGTATATAAATTTGTGTTTTGTAACATTAGCACATGCACCTCTTTTGGGTATCAGCTGTATGCTGAAAATATTGGTGTGTTTTGGTAATTATTATGCAATTAATATACAAGTTGATAATTATTGCTCCGACTTGAAATCTGGAAATTCGTTTATTTCAGAGCAAAGCAAGAACACCGATCAGAAAGCCAGATCCAGGGAAGACAAATGTCCTATTTGTCTGTGTAACGTTACAGATAAGAAAACCTTAAGTAAATGTGGCCATTCATTTTGTGCTGGCTGTATTGATGTCGCATTTAGACATCAGAAGAAATGTCCAGTTTGTTCACAAGTTTATGGTCCTTTAATTGGAAATCAGCCTCCAGGAACGATGACTGTTAATGCCCAGTCGACATCTCTTCCTGGTCTTGGACTGTGCGACACTATTGTTATAACTTACAGGTTTCCAAATGGGACACAAGGCCCAAACCATCCTAATCCTGGTAACTCATATTCGGGAACAATCCGAATTGCTTATTTGCCCGACAACAAAGAAGGACGAAAAATTCTCAATCTGTTGAGGAAAGCATTTGATCAGAAATTGATGTTCACAATTGGACGATCAAAGACAACTGGAGCTAATAATGTTATAACTTGGAATGGTATTCACCATAAAACCAGCAGAACAGGAGGACCAACAAAGTATGTTGAAAACTTGAAACGTTTTTGTAAAGGATGAATAACAGGTTGATAATTCACTTTCTAAAAAATACCTTAATAGATCTAATTCAATTACATGTTGACTTTTATTTCAGCTTTGGTTATCCGGACCCAGATTACCTGAAGAGAGTTCAAGATGATCTGGCCGCGAAAGGAATTACGGAATAAAAGCAACTCAGAGCCGTTGAGTGAATGACATTTCTTTGTATGACCATACCATTATGATATGTTGAACAGTCTTAAAGATATCTTTATTAAATCTACTAGGCAAGCTAGGTTTTAATTGATTTGCACTTTAACAGATGAAAGTTTGTTAGGAAATATCATAAACATTGACATTAATATACTTAATTGATATTGATTGGCCTTTCCCCACATTGCTAAAATTGCGTACTACACATTGCGTGTTCAAAACACAAGGCATTGTAATTAATCCCAGAGAAACGACATCAAATGATATGTCAAAATTGCAGAATGACTTGTATTTTGAATGGCTTTGCAGAGCGATTCTAATTTTTAATAATGAATATATTGTAGCAGGATCAGAGCCGCCCTCAGGGAATTCTTCAGGGGGGGTGTAAGGTCATTTCAACCGACTAGTGCCGAAAAATTTTTTTTCTGGAGCAAAGTATTTTTGAATAGCAGTCCTACCGACTGAATAGCAGTCCTGCCGACTGAATACAATTTCTGGGGGTGTCACACCCACCCACACCCCCCTCCCCCCCGTAGCTCCAGGCCTGAGCAGGATGCATTTTCCAAAAACTAATAGTAACCTAGTCATGGTCATTGGTATTTCAATGTCATTCCAAGCAACCAGATAAAGCCTTTACATAAATTATAAGGATTGTAATTTGATCAACAAGGGTTTAACAAGAATTCGTCTTCTAAGAACTAATACTGATTACTGAAAGCTCAGTCATGTGATTATAAAACAATAAAACCTCTCTGTCGTGTCTGATTTGGAAACTTCGTCCATCTTGTCCATTTTCTCATCAAAACATTGTTTCTGGAAAACAAAATGGCAAAATTTGAAACACTTGTACTCATTGATAATTCATGAAGGAATGAGTCAACCATGCTTCGATCTTGAATAAAGTCGTTTACTAAAACGGCTATTATACCGAAGTTTCTGAACGGGGGTGTGTCTAGACCCCATTCCCTGTAGGTTTGAAACGTACTTTAGAAGATTGACATGTTGCCATTTCCATGGTAACGTAATGCATGCATATTTTTAGGGTCTGTTAGTTTAGGGTTTCATATTTCAATATTGTGAACTAAGCAGAGCGAGAACGCTAAACATTCTATTGTGAATTTATACGGGCGAATTATCTATTATCTATTCAAGTTTGGTGTGCGCCGACCAAAGTAAGTTACATTTATCTTGTTGTAATAGTCTAGTCTAGTCTAGTCTTCAATCGCGTATCATGTTAAACAGTATTCATGTATATGCTTACGTTAGCTTTGCGCGCATGCCGTAATCTGTAATTCTTTTCCTAATTGTATAGTTCGAACCCACATTCCATATTCCTTAACCATATTCCATATACCAATCTATCTACCAATACCTATCAAACCTTAACCTCAATCGCTATCGAGCTATCTCAACAACAGAACATTGTAATTAACTGGTATTAAAGTTATTGTTTGTGTATGATCGGTGTGTGTGGAGTTCGTATTATTGCTGCGCATCATACTTGAATCGACTCTTGGACTTTGCGAATTTCAACAATCTGCCCAGAGAGTCTACATTAGTTCGAATTTGAGGGCACAGTGTATTAAAATCCTATGCTCGAAGCAACTACTGTATATTCACAACTATAATATATGCGTGAAACTTGGCACGCTGTGTTACTGATACGTTATCTGTCAATCAAGTCTACTTAAGTAAGCTGTCAACACTAGCTCTCGCCGCGGTATCCGTTTAGTAATTCATGACTACGTAGTTAACACCTGAGAATGGGTGACGGAAATGAACACTCAATCGAGGAACTAAGAAAAATTCGCAGCACCGCGAAGGCAAATGTGACGCGTAAGATAAATAAACTTAGCGAACTTATTTCAAACAACAATATTCAAGCTGTGGAAGAGACAAAAAACTACCTTTACGAAACCGTCAACGAATTTCAACTAGCGCATAAAGCCTATCATGAAAAACTCGAAAATGAAGTCGAGAAATCGAACTCGTCTCAATATTGCGCGGCCGTCTTAGAAGAAGCGGAAAAGCATAAAATAAAGGTACATCTTTGGTTAAGCGAACAACAAAAGAATGATATAGAGGTCCGCCCGGACGATTCGATTAGCAACGTCAGTTCTTTGCGGTCAAGAAAATCTAAATCGAGCTCCGTGAGAAGTTCAGCAAGTGCCAAGGCAAAAGCTGCTGCGAAAAAGGCAGCGTTAGAAGCTAAAGCAGCGTCGCTTCAAAGGCTGCATGAACTTCAGTTTGAAGAATTGAAACTTCAACAAAGAAAGGCTGAAATAGAACTTCGAGGTGAGATAGCTGTTGCAGAGGCTGAACGAAGGGTATACGAAGAGAGTGAAGTCGAAGAAATGTATAGTCAAGTAAAGAAGAGCACAGTTTCTCATGAACATTCCGAAAAAATGAACTATGTTTCTACGAGTAGTCCTGCTATAGAATCGAGCAAACAACACGCTCAGCCGAATGTCCCCAATCTACCATTGAACGATAAGTTAGAAAACCCTATTCCCTTTAATGTACCTCTTGATCCTAAAGAATGGAATAATTACCACAGGAATAATCAGAACAGAAATAATCACCATGAAAGTTTTCGTGACGAGTCATTCCAAATGCTAAAGGAAGCACAAGATCGTCAAAATACCGTACTGCGGCAGTTAATTGAACAACAACAACAAGGTGTTATGGCGTTAACATTACCCCAGCCCACGATGCAGATCTTTAATGGTGATCCGACCAGCTACTGTGATTTCGTTCGTGCCTTCGAACATCTTGTCGAAAGAAAAACCACAAGTCCCAGTGCGCGATTGTACTATCTTGTACAGTATACCTCTGGCCACGTACAAGAATTGATGAAGAGCTGTCTTTCAATGAAACCCAGTGAAGGATACATGGAAGCAACACGGCTATTAAGGGAAAGATATGGTCAAAGCTATCAGATTGCATCTGCGCACGTAAATCGTTTGATCAATGGCCCTGTCATAAAGCCAGACGATGGTGTTGAGCTCCAGAGATTTTCTATTCAGCTAACGAGTTGTGCTAACACGTTGAAGGAAATTGGCTGTATCGGGAAACTCGATAACTCGGAGAACTTGAAAAGGATCATCAACCGTCTTCCTACCGCGATGCGATACAAATGGCGAGATGCAGTGGACCGGATTGTGGAACAAGAAAGAAGAGACATAACAATCAATGATGTCACGAAGTTCGTAACAAGTCGAGCGAGAGCTGCAAATCATCCTGTTTTTGGAAAGGTAGAGAGAGAAAGAAAGGAAAGGATTGATCCTGACCAAAGGCGACTGCGTCCATCCGGAATAAGAGCAAATGGATTTGCTATTCACGGCGAAGAAGAGAACCAAGAAGGATCAACGAAACGAAGGACATGTCCATCGTGTAAACAGAATCATTGGCTTTCGCGTTGTGAAAGGTTCCGTAAACAATCGTTAGAAGACAGGCAGAAGTTTGTAAAGGACGAGAAGTTATGTAATAACTGTCTACTTCCTGGACATTATGTTCGCTCCTGCACGAAGCAGAGTTTTTGCAAGGTTCCAGAATGCACTGGAAAACACTCGACCTTCCTTCATCCGAAGAGCAACACAGACAGCAAGAAGACTGATCAACAAAACAAAGAAGAACCTAAAGAATCAGGGGAGGAATCAACGGCAGCCCACACTGCGTACATCAAGATGTCTGTAAAGCCCAATATCTCAACACGCAGTTCATCAGCCACAGGATTGGCTATTGTCCCAGTTCGAGTGAAAGCAAAAGGTGGGTCAGCGTCCGTAGAAACTTACGCATTCCTCGATTCAGGATCGAACACTTCATTCTGTACTGAAACCCTACTGAAGCAACTGAACGTAAGTGGAAGCAGAACGAATCTATCGTTGACAACAATACAGGGAGAAAATGTACCTGCTCAATGTTCCTTGGTAAGCCTCGAAGTTTCTGACCTTAGCGCTGTAAATCACGTTGATCTACCAGTGGTGTATTCAAGACCATCCCTACCTATCTCGCCTGACGCAATTGGCAAAGAAGAAGATATTCACCGTTGGTCACACTTGAAGGGTCTATCCTTGCCAGAAATTAATGCTGAGATTGGTCTCCTCATTGGCAGTGATGTACCAGAAGCCTTACAGCCCATTGAAGTGCGCCCTAGTGAGAATGGTGGTCCGTTTGCAACAAAGACTGTCTTTGGATGGGTATTAAATGGTCCTCTTGGCAGAAGCAAATCAAAGATTCCAACAGCCAACTTTGTGCAATCAACTAACGCATTGGAACGCCAGTTCTACGACTACTGCAACCGTGAATTTAATGATTCAAATTACGAAGTAGAACAGTCAATGTCCCAGAACGACAAAAAGGCCTTGAAGATTATGGAAGACTCCATCAAGTTAGTCAATGGGCATTATGTAATTGGCCTACCCTGGAAAAACTATCCACCACAACTGCAAAACAACCGATCCTCAGCTGAACAACGACTGAATTCACTCAAAAGGCGACTTCAACGAGAACCTATCGTGCACGAGAAGTATACGGCCTTTATGAATGATCTTCTTAACAAAGACTACGCAAGAAAGGTGAATTCCGAAGATCAAGATTCGTCAAAAATCCTTTGGTATCTTCCCCACCACCCAGTGTTGAATCCACACAAACCCGAGAAAGTTAGAGTAGTTTTCGATTGCTCTGCTAAATACAATAATACGTCGCTCAACGACCAACTATTACAGGGGCCGGATATGACCAACACTTTAGTCGGCGTACTCACAAGGTTCAGAGAGGAAAGAGTGGCGATGACGTCAGATATCGAGTCCATGTTCTACCAAGTTCGTGTGCAACCAAGCGACTGTAGTGCATTGCGATTCTTGTGGTGGCCAAGCGGAAATTTCGATGAACCAGTTGAAGAATACGAAATGCAAGTGCATCTATTTGGTGGAGCATCATCACCCAGTTGTTCAAACTTTGCTCTGAAACGAACAGCAGAAGACAACAAGGCAGAGTTCGATCCGCAAACCGTGGAAACAGTCAGGAAGAATTTCTATGTTGATGACTGTCTCAAGTCAGTGAAATCCGACAACGAAGCAGTAAGAATGGCAAGTCAACTACGCGAATTGTTATCAAGAGGTGGCTTCAGGTTGACCAAGTGGAACTCGACGTCACAAAGGCTTATCAAGTCCTTGCCAGAGTCAGAAAGAGCGGAGAAAATCAAAGATCTCAACTTCGACAAGTTATCGATCGAAAGAGTTCTGGGAGTCCAGTGGAACGTCTCAACCGACCAATTTGGGTTCAGCATTGTCATCAAAGATCGCCCCATGACTAGAAGAGGAATACTGTCTGTCGTAAGTTCAGTGTTTGATCCGTTGGGATTCGTTGCCCCATTCATCCTTCAAGCGAAACGAATTCTGCAAGATTTATGCCGAACGAAGCTGGACTGGGATGAACCAATTCCCGAGAAGTTCCAAGACCGCTGGCAATCATGGCTACAAGATCTACCAAAGTTGGAAGAATTGGAAATCGACCGTTGCTTCAAACCCAACGATGAAGAAGTTGTGTCAAGTCAACTGCATCACTTCGCGGATGCTTCTCAAGAAGGATACGGAGCAGTTACGTACCTGAGAATCGAGAACAAGCAAAATAAAGTCAAATGTTCGTTTGTCATGGGAAAATCTCGCCTTGCGCCAATCAAGTCAGTGACAATTCCTCGCATGGAACTATCCGCTGCGGTCACGGCAGTTAAGTTAAACAAGATGTGTCAAGTGGAATTAAGCCTACCAGTTGATAAAAAGCTGTTCTGGACAGATAGTACCTGCGTACTCAAATACTTGGGGAGTGAAGATAAGCGTTTTCAAACCTTCGTTGCGAACCGCATCAGCGTGATACGAGAAGCGTCCTCTTCAGAACAGTGGCACTATGTCAACACTGACGACAATCCTGCAGATGATGCATCCAGAGGAGTCTCAGCTGCTCAACTACATCGCTGGATACACGGTCCAACCTTTCTACAGCAACCGATTAGTGCTTGGCCACAACGACCAGATGATATCAACCTGAAAATCGCGCCAGACGATTCTGAAGTCAAGAGAGAATCAGCTGCGTTCGCATGTGAAACTATTCGTCCGGATCTCCTTACCACAGTTATATCCAGATGTTCATCGTGGAGCCGTCTGAGAAGAGTTGTTGCTTGGGTTTTGAGATTTAAGTCAATTCTTCTGCGTCATGTACGAGTGAAGGAGAACAGTAGGACTACGCAAACGACAACGATTGCCCCAATAACCGTTGCTGAACTGCGTGAAGCAGAGAAAGAAATTGTTAAACACGTTCAACAAGTAGCCTTCTCAGAAGAGATCAGCGTACTGACGAAGAACGAAAGAAAAGGATCAAATTGCAAGGTGATAAAGAAATCAAGCAGTATTTATCCACTCGATCCTGCTGTCAAAAATGGTCTGTTACGTGTTGGTGGTCGCCTACAACGAGCCCAGATCAGCGAAGAAGCGAAACACCCCAGTATTCTGCCGAAAACCCACCATGTCGTCACCCTAATTGTGAATTATTACCACCATGTCTCGGGACATTCGGGCGTGGAGCACACATTGTCTCTCATCAGAGAAAGATATTGGATAGTCAATGGAAGATCAACGGTCAAGAATATTATTGGGAAATGCTACAGCTGCCGAAAACGTCAATCCCCAGTGTCCCAACAAAAGATGGCTGACCTCCCACGCGATAGAGTTACCCCTTCAAAGCCGCCATTCACCTATACCGGAGTTGACTGCTTTGGACCGTTCGAAGTGAAACGAGGAAGATCTACCGTTAAGCGATACGGTGTACTTTTCACGTGCCTCACTGTTCGTGCGATCCACATCGAAGTAGCCTCGTCCTTAGATACGGAATCCTTCATCAATGCGCTTAGACGTTTCATTGCACGAAGGGGTCAACCGGAAGAAATACGCTCGGACAATGGAGGGAACTTCGTAAAGGGTGAGAAGGAACTCAAGCAAGCAGTGAATGACTGGAATCAAACACATATACACGAAGCCCTGCTACAGCAAAACGTTAAATGGACTTTCAATCCGCCAGCTGGATCTCATCATGGTGGCGTATGGGAGAGGTGTATACGGACAGTCGGAAAAGTTATCTTGGCAACTCTGAAGGAGCAGCAGTTGGACGACGAATCCCTCAACACCCTTATGTGTGAAGTCGAGTCTGTGGTTAACGGCAGACCTATTACCAAATTGTCAGACGATCCCCGAGATAACGAGCCCTTGACCCCCAACCATCTACTGTTACTCCGCTCAGGATCGAGTGTCCCACCTGGTGTTTTCTGCAAGCAAGATGGCTATGGCAGACGAAGATGGCGTCAAGTGCAATACATGGCAAACGTGTTCTGGCGTCGTTGGTTGAAAGAATACCTCCCGTCTCTCCAACGAAGACAAAAGTGGAGTATTCCGCAGAGAAATTTCGTTGTCAATGACGTAGTTTTGGTCCTGGACGAGAATAAGCCACGGTGTAATTGGCCTCTCGGACGTGTGATTGAAGTCTACACGAATGCTGGTGACAAGCTCGTGCGATCAGTAAAGTTAAAGACAAGTTCATCTGAACTTGTGAGACCAGTGGACAAGATCGTGCTACTGGAGGAAGATCAATCAGGGAAGCAATGAACAAGTAACGTACAGTACTTTCCTCAAACTATTATATTGGCCAGTTTAGTCTATTGTTCAGTTTATTCCAATTGTTTCAAACCATTTTGTTATGTTAGTTATTAGTAAAGGCTCATAATCCGCCTTTAAGGGGCCGGTATGTAGGTTTGAAACGTACTTTAGAAGATTGACATGTTGCCATTTCCATGGTAACGTAATGCTGCATATTTTTAGGGTCTGTTAGTTTAGGGTTTCATATTTCAATATTGTGAACTAAGCAGAGCGAGAACGCTAAACATTCTATTGTGAATTTATACGGGCGAATTATCTATTATCTATTCAAGTTTGGTGTGCGCCGACCAAAGTAAGTTACATTTATCTTGTTGTAATAGTCAGTTCTCTAGTCTAGTCTAGTCTAGTTTTCAATCGCGTATCATGTTAAACAGTATTCATGTATATGCTTACGTTAGTTTTGCGCGCATGCCGTAATCTGTAATTCTTTTCCTAATTGTATAATAGTTCGAACCCACATTCCATATTCCTTAACCATATTCCATATACCAATCTATCTACCAATACCTATCAAACCTTAACCTCAATCGTTATCGAGCTATCTCAACAACAGAACATTGTAATTAACTGGTATTAAAGTTATTGTTTGTGTATGATCGGTGTGTGTGGAGTTCGTATTATTGCTGCGCATCATACTTGAATCGACTCTTGGACTTTGCGAATTTCAACAATCTGCCCAGAGAGTCTACATTTATTACAATACGAATTCTCGTGGATTTGAGAAATTTTTCATGGATTTCTTTACTAGACTTACTCGTTTTTTTTGAACTTTGAAAGACGTTTTAGTAATTTGGAGGCTGTTTTGTATATGACAATAGGGCCATTTATACGGGACAAAATAAGTCGCGACTTACATAAGACGCGACTTAAAAAGTGGAGTCATCGCATAAATGGTTCTCTACAGCTTTGGTCTTATTTATTTGCTATAGCTATAATGTTGTTTTGGTTGTTTTTGTTTTAATAGGCAAGGCATTAAATTTTACGTTGTTTCAAGTTTCTGGCATGTGTAGTTAGACTTTTTGTCCAAAATTTCTTATTTAAGACGCGACTTAAATAAGAACAGCTAAACGACCTGTTCTTATGTAAGACGCGTCTTATCCAGGACTCGTCTTACATAAGAATTTTGTACCTTTTATACCACAAGCTCGCGTCTTACTTAAGACGCGTCTTATGTAAGTCGCGTCTTATTTTGTTCCGTATAAATGGCCCTATGACTGCAGCCTACAGTAAAAATGCACGCGCGAGATCTCAGAATAACAGTATTATTAAGTAAGCCCCCTTGATGAGTGTGTACGCTCTTGGGGCAAACTCATTCTCATCAGAAATATGTTTAAATAAAGTAGCTAATATATTATATGTATTGCTAGAAATTCCCAAAACATTCATTTGTCATTGAAAACGTTGAACAACCAACAAGCAGGATGATGTCATATAAATATAGAGCACGAGGCAAAACGTCCATGTTCCTTCGATCAACGGCAGTAAATAAATATTGTATTTAATATATTAAATTAAGGACTGTGTTACTGTTGAAGTTATAACATGAACGTTTTGCCTAGTGGCTAGTGCTTTATATATACGACACCAGCTTTTTGATTTGGTTGTCAACGTTTTCAATGACAAATGAATGTTTTGGGAATTTCTAGCAATACATATAATGTATTAGCTACTTAATAATACTGTTATTCTGAGATCTCGCGCGTGCACTTCTACTGTAGGCTGCAGTCATTGTCATATACAAAACACTGTCAGCCTCTAAATTACTAAAACGTCTTTCAAAGTTCCAAAAAGCGAGTAAGTCTAGTAAAGAAATCCATGAAAAATTTCCCACAAATCCACGAGAATTCGTATTGTATATAATAAATACGGATGAACTTTATAATTCCTCTAAATTCTTACATGGCGCCGTTTCATACAATTGCAAGTCAAATAACCATATGCAAACATATTATTCAAATAATAAAAAAGATAGCAAAGTTAAATATTGGTTATTGTTCAACTAAATTTAGAATAGAGTCACAAGTACATAGTACGGCAGAATATTGAAAGCGAAACTGAAATATAGTACATGCGGCAAAAGCCTCGAGCGAAACTTCGTTTGCATGTTTGCAAACAAGCAATACTCATGCATTGATATTCTGTACCGGCCGACATAATATATTTATCCTTGCCCATGATAAAAATTATTTAAAAAAACAACAATACAAGTAAAAAGTAAAGATCGTAACCATCTATCACCCCGAATTTAATGCGAAACACGTGAATTTATAGAGAAACACGTGCGTTGCTTCATAGCTCGTATTCCAGCGTGTTCCGGGTGGGGTTCCGGGTGTTCCGGATGGGGTTCTGGGTGTTCCGGGTAGGGTTCCGGGTGTTCCGGGTAGGGTTCCGGGAGGGGTTCCGGGTGTTCCGTGTAGGGTTCCGGGTGTTCCGGGTGGGGTTCCGGGTGGGTTCCGGGTGGGGTTCCGGCTTTTACAGACACCCATTTCTTTTAGGCGCTTTGTCAGTGACGGTTTTGTCAATTGCAAAGGACATATTTGTGTACCACGCGATTACAATTCTTTGCAAGCGGCGTGTGAAAAACTGCAAGTTTCAGTTTGGTACACAAATATGTCCTTTGCAATTGACAAAACTGTCACTGACAAAGCGCCTAAAAAAACGGTCGTTTCGCAGTTTACTGGGAACAATAGTACATGAAATATAAACCATGTTCTACAGTTGGATCAAATTACATGAAGTAATTAGTAATGCAGTGCTTCCATTTTCAAAAAACATAATTTCCATCCAACCGTTCAAAATTTCCTTATTTTTGAAAAAATTTCCTTGCAATAAAAATTATTGAATTTTACCTAATTTAAAACTGATTTTATAGTAATTTATCTCGAATAACAGGGTATTTCTTGTTCTAGAAGGAACATCTAGACGTTACAGGGGCTGATTTATCAAAGGGGAGAGACAAAGAGTTTACATAGATTAACACGAAGGAGAATAACCAGGGGGGTCTGGGGATCCTCCCCCAGAAAATTTTCAGATTTTGCATCTCGTAGAACAGGATTTTCAGCATATTTTGAAGCACATTTCCTTGGCAATTGCCGTATTCTTAAGGTTTTTTACAAATAAGGCAATTTCCTTCACATTTCCTTCAATCTTCCGAAATTACCTTCAAATTTCCTTCAGATTCGAATTTCCTTATAATTTCCTTCAACTAGTTAAAATTTTCTTCAAAAAGGAAATTTCCTTCAAAATGGAAGCCCTGGAGTAATGACATAACGATCGAGCGCAAAATTCGAATCGTGCTATTAAATCACCGTGTGTTAATAATAAATAAAGGATTAAAAGAAACTTTCATTCAATTCTTAGTTTCCCTAATCCTTATACATTTACGGGTTGTGAAGTTGGATTAAAGTACATGTTTTAGACTTTTACGCCAACTACTTTTGAGATGATCTGTTTACGCCACGCCAGTTTGATATGGCCAAATAAACAGGCAAAATTACGCCAATTTTGGCGTAGTCGACTAAATTATACGCCGAATATATTCGGCGTAACATACGAACTTTCCAGTATGGACTACAAGTGCTTTAAATGGCTTAAAAAACGACTCATCTTATACGAGTTTATTGGCGAAGTAATTTTTAAAATAAACTTTGTCTGAACCGAGAAAATCAAAGCTAAAGTTTATGTAAATTAACATGATTTTTTATCACATATAAAACCACGACACGCTTATGATTTTTCTTTGTGTTTTGCTCCTGAATTATTAATGAGTTTTTTAAAGATATTTCGAGCTCGGATAAAAGTGATAATCTCACATGTGAGATTATTTATGATAATCTCACATGTGAAAATTATCACTTTTCGGTGATCGCTTTTTTGTAAAAATTATCGCTTTTCAAAGACTGTCCTTTATATAATAAACAGAACTCGTGTTGAACATGATATCTAACTCGTTCGCTGCGCTCACTCGTGAGATATCATGTTCAACACTCGAAATAAATCTGGTATTTCCGCGCACCCATGTATTATTCTCTATTTAAAAACTTTTGTAGAGAGTTTACGAACAATTCGCAACTATTGCGAAGCATACTTAGAACAGAAGTGTCTTTCCTTTAACAGAGCGGTTAAAAGTACTGGTAACAGAATTACATGATGATTTAATTGAAAGGAACGGCAATTCTCATGTCAGCGGTCAATTTGAGTGGGTTGATGGCCAATTGGTAAAAGCTCTTAAAAACGGACATTGGCTTTTGATTGATAATGTTAACTTTTGTAGGTAAGTGTTCTAAGGTCTGTTCAAATTAAACGCTTTTTAGATTAATGCACTGTTAATTTCAGCGAGTTAACTTAACTCCGGTGGAGTTATACTGTACCTCAATTAACTCCAAATGTAGAGTAAAATTAGGTTCAGAATAATACCGCAGGAGTTAAATTTATTCCCCGAAATTTACAGTGTGGTTAACTTAAACATTGTATATTTATATAGTCCATCTGTTTTGGATCGTTTGAATGGCTTGTTAGAACCTGGTGGGGTATTAAGTATAAACGAGCGAGGCGTGATTGATGGAGAGATTCCTGTGGTAAAACCACATCCTGATTTCAGGTGAGTAATTTTCTTGTGCTTATGTCTGATATTAGGTTAAACTTTAATTTCTTGCTGTTTCATTTTATTTGCCTAATAAAATTAACATGTATTTTACAGAGTATGCTTCATGTATATCATTTGCAGGAAACCTTTTTTAAGTATAGAATCAATTTCTGCAAGGGGGCAAACCGAGCATGTGGAAGACTGGAATTCATGTTACTTTCTTTTTTCCAGATTGATTTTTGCTATGGATTCAAGACATGGAGAAATCTCACGAGCCATGAGGAATAGAGGCGTTGAAATTTTCATGATGCAGGAGGTATAAGGAATCGATATTTTTATTTATTATTTATTTTTTTAATTTTGCCCCCAAAATTACAGTAACAAATCAGAAAAAAGAGTATTTACAAGAAGTGGGCTAGGGGCCTACTAGAAACCAAGTGGCTTTTATTTAAGACCCCTAGGTTATTAGTTTACAATAAATATTTAAAATATGTGGGGCCAAGGTTATTAGTTTACAATAAATATTCAAAATATGTGGGGCCAGTCAATTCGAAGCGTATATCCCGGTCATCGTGCGCATTTGACAATTTGCCTCTCAGGGTTGAAGGAGTTGAAATCTAATGTTTGCCGGATAATTTCTATGAAGAATCCTAAAACAGTAGTGAAATATTGGGGGTGCAACTTTAGGTTACCAACATTTTTTAACCCTTTGTTGATGCAAATGTCATTTCCCTCGTACCTTCCTGGGAATTATTGAAACTTGCAAAATATAAAACGACATTAAAACCAGCCAAAGATACGGCGCTGGTTTCCTTTCTAGTGTTCTCATGAATATTCATAATTTGAAAAGAAATGATTTAAAATTGCAAAATTCAGAGATATTTGTCACATCAAAGTAACAATATTGGTTTGTATTTTTCAGGACTGTGATACTGATGATCTCTGTAGCATGTTGTATGCGTCAGGTTGTAGAAATTCCACGGCAATACAGACTCTTTCGAACTTTCACGATCAGAATAAAAAAGGTATATGCATGATTACTAATCTGAAAACATAGAACTGGAGTGTCCCTTTAAATCAGCTAATTTTGAAGCCAGAATATTTATAATGAAATGAGATTTTAAAGTTTCTCAAAATCTCTGCAAGTCGGATTGTGACGTTTTTAAATTAGCTATATTAACAAGCAAATGTCTTTTCCTATTTAACTTGAAAGATATATAGCTTCCCACATATCTTCTAATGAGTTTTACAACGTTTTATACACTAGGTAATGAGACTTTTGGCAGCCATCTTGGTGTGACATTCATTAGCTATTTACAGGCAAATTTAAGGGAAAGAGAACCCATTGTTGATAATTTTCTAGTCAGACAATGTTTTTCATTTCCCACCGATAACTATAGACTGTAAAAAACCTTTACCACTATGTCACCAATACTGCAGTAGATATCTCGAGCCAGAACTCGAGTCTGGAACTGACGTCCTATAGCTCTTCAATTTCCGCCATCTTGGCAAGGAGTGTGCCGAAATTTCGTATTTTGAACTGAAAACTGAACTGAAAACTTGATTAGCGATTTAGCTGGGGAAAAATGGTGTAAAAACTGTTTACGACCTTCAGAGCTATTGGACGTCAATGGCCGCCATCTTGACTTCACTTTTCTCATAGGCCGAACGACTGAAGTTCTTGCTCTAGGTATATACAGCTAATTCAATTAAGGTTGTCTTTTTATTATATTAAACCTGAAACTCTGAGCACGCAAGGGTGGTCATTGCTTATTTTGACTCATAGACTTTGAAATTTTGCTTTGCAAGAATACCTAAGACATCGCAAGGGATGATTGGTTATTGCTTATTTTGACTCATAGACTTTGAAATTTTGCTTTGCAAGAATACCTAAGACATATTGTATAAGACTCACGACAGAAAACATACTTACTGCAAACGCAATTTTATGAGTTTATGGGTCTAATAGGTGAAACCCATCATCCCTAGCAGCCTTGCGTGCTCAGAGTTTAAGGTTTAAGGTTTTGGAAGGACAACCTTAATTGAATCAACTGTATATGGAGCTCATAGCTCTACCTTCATTCATAGTAACTTTTTAACTGTTGAAATACCTAGGTTCACTTCTTCAGACCATTCATACTGGATCTTTGATGAGTGAGCTCTGGCAAAGAGGAATTGAACTTGAGAAGTCACTTGTCATGTCAATGAACCATGTTTATGGCCAAATGTGTGATTTGCCACAGGTACAATGAGTGGTTACTTCGATCGTAATGACCTTTGGCATTGCTAACGTAAACATGCCAAATAAGTACAGTTGCTCACGGAATACAATTTTCTTATTTACCCTGATTCTTGGGGAGGATTTCCACTTACAGAGAAATATTTCGTCGTCGAAATATTTCGCTTGAATTCTCTTGAATTGTGACTATCCGAATAAATCATTTCCAAATAAATCGAGCGAAAAATTTTAACAGCGAAATTTTTCTTGCAAGTGGATATCCAGCTCTATTACCTCTGTTCATGGAAAACCATACTGTACACTGAATACCATGCTATTTTATACCATACCAAATCATACCAATTGGCCATTCTCACGATGACGAATATCCGCCATTTTTGGGTGGCATCCAATTCTCGTTAACCAATGCAGACAATTAAAACAATGTGAAAAGCAATTTTTCAAAATAAACTAACGATTTACAAAGCAAATTTACCATCATTCGTCCAAAAAATTATAAAAAGTCGCTGTTATGTGGACTATCTCGTATGCCACCGTTTTTTACTTGTATTTGAGAGATCAGTTGAATTCAACCTGTTCGAGTCAAAATATTTCTATGAGCGCCTTTGGGAGCTACCTTGTGACTAATATCTAATCATGGAGCACAAGTGCTAACAATGCAAGCAGTTGCAACTTAACTCACCCTGTCAACATTCCCTGTGGAAGGAAACCGAGGGTACCCAGAGAACTTATGACATTACGATTTTCAACTTGAATTTACGTGATAAATTCCAGAAAAATTTGATACACCAAACACTATATGTATTTAAGTAACTCTGTGTTTGAATAATTAAACCATATAGGCTTAGTACAAAAAGATTATTTTAATAACTACGTTTCGGAGTATAACTCCATCTTCAGGTTAAAAAGTAACTAAAGATATGATATCTTTAGTTACTTTTTAACCTGAAGATGGAGTTATACTCCGAAACGTAGTTATTAAAATAATCTTTTTGTACCAAGCCTATATGGTCTAATTATTCAAGCACAGAATTATTAAAATGCGGCTTAGAGAAAGTTCCGTCATACAAGAAATCTATTTGTACCCTTGCAGTTCATGACAGAAGAACAGTTAGTTCTAGAACCTTCAAAACTTTTGAAACACAAACTAAAGCCGACAGCTACGAGTTTCCAAAAGGATGCAATCCATGCTATGATTACTTGGCATGCTACTCCACTTGAAATACTTATTGAAGATATCAGCAAATCGCCATTAAGGGATGTCAGAATAGTGATAAATATATTCTTGGAATGGTGCAGTAAAGAAGATTGGCGTACGAGGTTGGATTGGTTGAAATCTAGCTTGCTTCCTAGCAGGATTGGCAGTGATAGATTTACATCTGAATCTGAAATAGCCGATTACTGTCTTCAAAAGTTGTTTGAGAGTAAGGTTGTAAAGCTGTTGTATGATATCTATGGAAAGTTGGAAATGAATTATATAGGTATGTTCAAAGATCATTGGAGCACTGCAAATTTCTTTGCCCATTGTTTTAAAAATCCAAATCCCAACATCCATCCTTTGGCATTGTCATGTCGTTATTTCCCACGACTTATATATTACACCAAATGTTTCCCAACAGAATGTTTTTCTCCTAGATTGCAAGTTTGATGCAAGTTATCAACCTGTAAATGTCAGAGTGAATGGACCTTTATATAAATATATATCTTGCAAGATTCATTGGGATGAAGAAATGTCAGGCCAATTCACCAGCTATATCAACAGGTATTGTTTATAATTACAGTTATATGTATTGTTGAAAAGATTTTGCAAGTGGAAATTTTGAGAGGACAGATGATTCCATCTATAGACTAAATTTTGATCTCGGCAAGAAGAACAAAATCCATCACCACAGCCAGAAGGAGCACGTTAAAATTAGTAAAATTGCAAAGTTTGGTTGCGAAATGTTGTAAAATGCGGAAAATATAGCCTTACGAAATTTGCAAATCTTGTAACATGCTGCATGCATTTTCCCGCGCGTAATACAAATTAATACAAAATTTGCAACTTTCTCAGCGCTATATTTTCCGCATTTTACAACATTTCGCGGCCAAACTTTCCAATGTTACTAATTTTAGCATGTTCTTTCTAGCTGTGGTGATAGATTTTGTTTTTCTTGCCGAGATCAAAATTTAGTCTATAGCTGCAATCACCTATTTTATAGGAGCATATTTTGGGCCTAACCATGCAGGGGCAGTTTTTGAGTTGAAAATATAGCTCTTCTAGAAGAAATAAAACCTCGAGCCGTGCAAATCCATGGCAGTGCTCTGACAAGATATACTAGGGTGATGCAATGATCTGTAGTGTTGAAGTGGTCCATCTTACATTTTATGTTTGGAAAAATCAACAGCAGTTCTGAAATAGTTTCGACAAGTACACACAAAAACAAAATGTAAATAATAAACCTAAACGATGGAAACAATAAAATAATTCTTGTGTAAATATTCAGTGTCCCCATGCAGGAATCGAACCTGTGACCCTGCGATTCTGGTTCAGCCCTCTATAACCAACTGAGCTACAGCGGCCGGTTGTCGCGATATTGAGCTCTCGTGCAATATTCTAAACTATTGATGTTGAATTCTTCTACAATAGGACGAAAGTGTCTATTGTTTTGTTCTTCATTCTATACACTTGTTTGTGATATGTTGTTTTATGCGTCTGTATGTATATGTCTGTGGACATATGTCCTGCTTTTCCAACATCATTGACACAATTTTGTTGCATTTACAGGGTATATTTACTATGGACGTTCCTTGCATTGGAAGGGGAGGCAGAATCCTACTTAAAATTTGTTGATAAAGAGCAGTTGAATACACCTTTAACACCTTTAACGTTGTCATTTGCTTATATGAAGCGTAAGTACTTAAATTAAGAGCTTGCTCAATAGCTTGCTCATTTGTTTTATTCCGTTTTAAAACCTAATTCAAACGTCCAGCGTTCATGTGCCGACCTATAATTAAGCCGTATAATTAAGTCCGACCTATAATTAAGGCCCTTAAGAGTTAGTAGCTCTACCTCTTGCTACTAACTCTTGACGAAGGGCCTTCGCTCGAAACGTCGAGTTTCTGCTTATTTTTTAAGCTAGTAATATAACCACTCAGCACAGCATTTTCACATTGGTACTACCAACACTGGTACAGACAGTTTTTGTATAAAAAAGGTAGCTAATTCAAATTTACTGTGCTTTTGTGCCCTCAATAGTAAGTGCACAGACCCAATTTTTCCGGCAATTTGTAATCGGCTTGTATTAATATTGGTCAATTGTGCTTGAAATGATACGAAAAAGGTGTCATTCAACCCTAATTTTTAGTAATATGGAAACGTTAGATCTATGCACTTAACATTGATTGTACAAGAGATCGCTAAATTTGGTTGCATTTTTTTATACACCCTGTTTGTAAAAGGTCGAACATATCGAAATGAAGTGAAGGTATTCTTACTGGAAATGAGTATACCATCTTTCCATTTAGGATCTGTATCGGTGTGATATCTCACTGTGGTGAGAAAGTAGGTGGCTGTCCTCAATACAGCAGTCATGCCAGTATTGTTACTTTGTACATTTGTGCTTGGTCAAGAAAGCATAGTCTTTCAAGATATGTTGGTCTGGAAGCCCGGCAAACTTCAAAGCTACAAAATAGAAGGCCTTTGCTTGACGTTGAGCTGTACATCACCGTGCACAAATCCTTGGGTCTGCAAGAAGCTCTAGGAAGATGTTCGGTGATTGGTTGATTATGACAATGACAAAAACAACAAGCTATAGAATGGATTTTCTAAAGAACGGAGCAAGAACAATATTCCTTTTGTTTATGTTTATGTAAGCTAATTACGTCTTTTGTCATTGTCATAATCAACCAGTCACAGAACATCTTCCTAGAGCTTCGTGTTTACTGAAATCCTTTGTCTCAACTTTATTAAATATTCTTCAATGTGGCTGCACGTTTCATCTCGGTTATCCCTATTGGACGGTTACTTCATTATACGAAAATACAATTAGCTCAATCACCGTGACCGTGTACCTCTATGCTGTGCACAAATCAACATAAACTCGAGCAAAAACATAATACAAAGACTTCTGCATGTTCAGTTTCCAGACAATCATATCTTGATAGACTGTGAACAAGCTAAGCTTATAGTCATAGAATAAAGATCCATATAGAAGGGCCACTTACGTCGGAAGCTTTGAAGTTTCTGTCCTCGCGCATGTCGCATTACGCATGTTGGCCGCCATTTTCCTAGCCAGTCAATGACATTTTCTGGCCAATAAACATGCACGCTGTACTGGCTGGCTGCTGGTCCTTCTGGCCAGTAAACTGAATATTTTGCATAAAAACACGCGGACGTGTTGCACCGCTGAGCGGCCCTTCTGTTACTGCTCTTTATTCTGTGTTATAGTTACAGTATGATTTAAGTTCTTGTCAAATGGATGTATGTCATTAAGAAAGCATCATTAGGACGAATGCAGATTGGAAAGAGCAAAGAAATTTTCAATAAAAAATTCTACTTCATCGCATTGATATGGTTGTAGTTTTTCGACAATAGCTGAGCTACAAATATCTGATTTTATTAGTTTATTCTTACTATTCCTTTGCCATTGTTTAAAGACGAGATGGAATGATGGATGCACAGTATATTTTTTAGCCGGTGATAAACCTCATAACGCACCGCCAGTCGCTGGCTTGTTTTGAAAGCCCTGGTTAATGTAATATTGTATGGTGACGTCTGTTTATTTCAGGTGACATGAGATCTGACATGAGATCTGAGAGTCTTCCTCACAAAGGAATTGCACATATTTTCCCGTTATTACATTCATTTCAAGAATGTATGCGATATCTTTTGGAAAGTAGTAATCTAGATTTCAAAGATAATGTTGCGTACGAGGTATGCAAATTGAACTAACTTTTTTACACTAGATATAGCTCTATCAGTGTAACTGTGTAACAGTTTCTCCCTAGAGGTCCAGTAATATCCTGGCTTTCGTTTTCGACCCAAAATTACTGTGGGAAGATAGAGGAGGGGAGGGGTACCTTATGGAACTATGTGAAAGAAAACACCGACAAAATAGACAACTACCGGATATATACAGACAACTATTGAACTAAGTTCTTTGAATGTTTGCATGGCGATAAAATATAATTGTTTTTGTTTGTGGAAACACCACGTAATTTTATTACTGCAAAGCTTTCGATCCGTAAGCCCGGATCTTCATCAGTGCTAATAATATGTCATTATTTGCATATTATTAGCACTGATGAAGATCCGGGCTTACGGATCGAAAGCTTTGCAGTAATAAATTTACGTGGTGTTTCCACAAACAAAAACAACTATTGACTATTCTGCAATCTGATATTTTTGGAAGAAATTAAACTGAACTATAAAAACAAGGTCATTTTATAGATGTGAAATCAACAAGTATACTTGCTTTGTCTCAAAAGCTTTAAGCTGCAGCGTTTACATGCGGCGGTGTGTCGTGTATGATTCGTATTCTGGCGTATGTATAATCGAATACGCACGCGTAAAGTGGTTGCATTTCAAATTTTGCCATAATCTGAATTAAGAGGAATTGTGGCGTCAGCGGTAAATTTCATACGCCAGAATACGAATCGTAACAAATTCGAGTTTTCAGCAATTTGAAGTATTATTTAAAAAAATAGTTTACCTGGTTTAGGGAAAAATATTGCCATACTGAGGAGTCTGTGAATTCAGTAGTTGTCTATATAATAAAACAGTTAATCTTATTGTCGTTATATATGGCAGATAGCTAACTCGGTGCTCTAATACGACTCGAGTTCGCGGAATAAGTACTATACTTTCTATTCCAGATATGGGTGTCTTTAAGGCAGTACAAGCAGTTTTTCGATGCGTGCACTCAATGTTACTCCCAGGATGAAAATTATCATGTCTTGTTTGATATACGCTGGAAATTCTTCAGCAATGAAACACTTGGTACTATTTGTAAATTTTTGAATGGACATTGTTGTGAAATGTAAGTGGAATATAAATTTATGTGGTGATATAAACTTAAATGTGGATTTTCTTTATGTTTTTGCTTTCCCGTGATAAACTGAATTATTGTATGGCTTTTTGAAATTCTCTATTCTGATTGGTTGACAAGCGGTCCGTAAAAACCCATATCCGGACCGTGGTCCGTATTTTCCGCATCTGGACCGGTGTCCCGGATGTCGTTTATCTGGCGGGAAATTTTTGCTCTGCAAACAGAAAACATTTTTGCTTTTTAATTTTCCAATTGTGTGTCATTGAAATTTACAGATACAAATTTCAAACAACCAAATCGTTTTTGATTGAGCATGCATGCCTACCGTATATAACAACCCAGTGAAACTGACGATAGCCGATTTAATTCGCGCGAAAAGCATCTGCTCACAGACTCAGCTCAGCCATATAATAAACCGATTATTGACCTCGCTTGATCGGTCTGTGCTGTGAAATATCAGACCTCTGTTTTTTGCATGGACCTCGCTCCTTCGTCGCTCGATCCATACTAAAAATCCTCGGTCTGATATTTCATAGTACAGACCTCGCGCTCGGTCAATAAGCCGTTAGTATCACAGGCAGGATCGTTGGACGAAATCTGTGAGACAGTGTTCTTTTGTAATTTGCAAGAATACCAGTGGTGTAGACCATGCATGACCATTGCGGTTCCGAAACAAAGTTTGTTAGTCTGTTAGTTTGTTCGGAATCATAAGCTTTAGTTGGTATTTATTCAAAAACGAACGCGCTTATCCATGGTGCACTTGTTTGCGCATGCTCCGGAGCACTGCACTACTGTGGTACTATGTCTATTTTGTGTGAAAAGTCTAAATTTCGGGAAATCATAAACATATATCATTTTGTGCTTACATTTAAATTGTCAGCACATATATTTTATGTGCATGAACTGTGAACGTTTTCCCCATCTTTGTTTACGTTTCAAACATTTGGCATTATTTTTAAATGCAAAAGTGAGGTTTTAGTGAGGTTCTATGATTATCGAAATTGTATGTGGGTATAAAGTTTTCACTGGTAAAAGAATATTGAATTAAGCTTTGCCGCTAATGTTTTACAGTAGTGCCCTCGGAAAGCTGTTGAGTGTGAAGAAATGTCTGGACGAGATGTGTAGCAGAGATGATGAGCTTGCTGTATGTCGCTGGAAGATGATCCATGATTTTGAGCATCCATCTGTATTTGTTTTCGAAGAAATGTGTCTTTTATGGGTAAGTGCACTGCTTTTTCAACGGTTAGTTCGTCTATTAACCGTGCTTTTTCTTTTCTCATATCTTTTCTTTGTTCCCAATTATACTGGTGTAAATTTTGTTTAAGGTTTTGTCGTCAAGAATAAGCTGTCATCAATGGGTGATTCCAAGCTCTATAGACTAAATTTTGATCTAGGCAAGAAGAACAGAATCGATCACCACAACTATAGAAAGAACTTGTTGTAAAATGAGAAGAATATAGCGCTATGAAGCGCTTTCTAGCTGTGGTGATGGATTTTGTTCTTGCCTAGATCAAAATTTAGTCCATAGCTTGAATCACCCATTAAAAACTAGAAAACATTCCCTTTTATAGAAACACGCGTAGGAGTTTGAGAGAACGGGAAATAATTAGAAAATGAAAATGTGTATTTTTCCATTTCAGGCAAAACTTACCAAATTGTATGCTGACTTGGCTGACCATAATCCTGCAATGAAATTACAAGTTGAGGGAACAGTTAATCAGACACGTACATGGAAAGTAGCATTGTTAAAAGGCATGGTATCCTTGATAAAACTTCGTGAAGGGAAAGTACGACAGGAGGATGCGAAAAATTGTTTAGGTAAGTTATTATTAGCATAAGAAAATTACTGGATGCTGATTGGTTGAGAGGAGTACAATTATTTCATTAATTATTTATCTTCTGTAATCAGTGGCAAATACTGCAATTTCATTGGTTTACAGGAGTGCGATTTGAGCATTAATCGCACCTTTTCTGAGCTGTAATCGCACTCTTGTCTACAGCCAATGAAAATCAGTCTAGTATTTACACTAGCCAATCATCACTCAGGATACAAACTTTGAATTTTATTTTCTCTATTGCTGTAAAAAAATTCAAAATGGAGGAATTCACAAATTTTGCCCTTTTAATTTTTAAATCAGCCCTCGAAAACCCTCAAAATTGGGGTCGGAAAAAAAATGCCGACCTAAATCTGACCTATCTCGGCATTTTTTAAAATCTGTTTCCATGTCTTGGAGCACTAATAGCCTGCACTAGTAATCACGTATTTACGAATCATTGAAAAGTATAAATGTCACGAAGCCTTTTCTTTTAGAGTTTTACCTAAATTATATCATAAATATACCCGTTAATTCTTAAACCTTACACCAAAGTGCATCGAATTCTATAATCGCTGACTTTTTAACAGCTATAAGAACCAAAAAGATTCTTACTTTGGCTGAATTAAGGTCAGCAAAACATTGCCGACATGGGAGGTTGATAGGTTGGCATTTTAATACTGAAGGTCGGCATTGCCGAATGCCGATCTCGTTTTCGAGGGTTGTTAAATTATATATTTTCTGACGAAAATGACCTACCTGTTCATCCAGCAGAAGACACCGAACTAGACACAATCCAATTCAGATGATTAATTGAACTAAAGAACTTCACTATTTTGAACACGTTATAAACATACAAACATGGCTTCCCAATTGTGTGTTGAATAATTCAAACAAATGTTGTCATGTGGTTATACCGGAAATAATGCCCGGAAGTTAATAATATGTTAATTTGATTATATATGATAAATAATACTTCAAAATTGTACTATTTCACTAAGAATTGTCGTGACAAAAATTTAAAAATTATATTGAATTTCAACAAATTGTATTTTTCTGCTTTTCCCCCTTAAACAGTTTGATTACAGAAGATAAATAATTAATAAGTAATAGAACGAATTAAGTCGTACTATTAATGCCATAATCATACTCGTGATTAACAAATCAACCTCCCGCTACGCGGTCGGTTGATTTTGTAATCACTCGTATGATTATGGCATTAATAGCACTCCTATTCGTTCTATTACCATCAATAAATGTGAACCATTTTTCCGGACATACAAAAATTTTTCCGGACATACAAAAATTTTGCCGGACGTATAATTTTTTTCCGAACATACGAAATTTTTGCCGAAATTTTTGTAAATTTAGGGAAATTTTTGCCATATAACTATCACTTTTTTCCTGAGCCGGCACTCAAATATTTTCGCTGACTGCGAAAGCCATTTGTCGATAAATCAGAAAACAATTTGCCGAATCTTGCAGACATTTGCCGAGTCCGTAATGGGGGGTGTTACACCCCCTACCCCATCCCCCTCTAGCTACGTCTCTGAATCGAAGACCGGTACTATGTAGAGTGTCATTTTCAAGCTTGTATCTACAGATTTGCATTTTTTATTTCAGTGTTTCAGAATATCTAAATTTTTAGCGAAAGTTTCAACCGGAAATACAAATTAAATTGTCGAAACAATGCGATGTTTATATCCTAGCACCCGGAAAACGTCGGAAATCGATTCTAAAGGTCAAATTACCCCTCTATAGCGTGGCCGAAAGGTACGCTTAGCGAAAGGTATGGCCAGTCTATATTTTTAGCCAATGTTGATAATGAATACAAACAATTTAAGGAATTAGTTGATATTGTTTCACTGGATCGAATGGTGATATTATTGACTTCATAGCATGCACTGAACTCAAGATGGTTGGCAGCTTCTAGCGACCTACGATGCTTGGGACTGGGCGAGAAAGAGTTTTAAAATTTATTTTAGCCGTTTACGGCGAAATAGTAGAGTTAATTTAATATTTTCTGGTTTGTTTATAAAAATGTTTCTGTATTATGGATAGTTTATACGGTATCTGGCTTGATACGACAAAGAATAAAGAATAAGAATTTTATGGTTCAATGTTTGAAAAATCAACCAAGATGGTCTCGATGGCAAACGAGCAATTAATTTACTTACAGTCAAACCCCAATTAAGCGGACACCTTCGGGACCTTGCCTAAGTGTCCGCTTAAAAGGGGTGTCCGCTTAAAAGGGGTATGTAGAAAAACACAGCAGGAGGCAAAGGTGTGTAATTACAGCAGGTGTATAATTTGAGTATCAAAACAGTAAAAAATATCTAGCAAATAATTAGCATAAAATGAAAATTTCTTTGTACATAAAAGTTCATTAGAAAATGTATACGTCTCTCGCAGTCATATAAAAAAGGAATCGATACAAGTTTGCTTTCGAGGCTCACGTAGCGATAGCCATTATAATGTCATTTACATAAAAATGGCGTTGGAAAGTTCTTCCAAACCTCGAAATTGTGCCAATTCTGCCAGCTTTAAGGGCTTTGGAGGACGATTTAATGACTGGTTCGTTAAGAGACCAGTCCAATTCATCATCTTCGTTCAGTTCGTTGTCATCATCAGTGATTTGACACATATCTTTCGGCTCCTCGGCTGACGGTTCACAGTCCTCCGTCCTCGTTCGTCACTTCCTCGGTAATCTTGGCTCTGATGTCTTCGCGCCAAGTTAGTGTGTCATAGTCAATGTGCCATGTAAATTGATCTCAATTGTTATTTACTGTCGAATATTGAATACATTTTATCAGACAATCTGTCATCTGTCCGCTTAAGAGAGGTTGGTTTGCCCATTGGGACCTCAATTACGGTGTCCGCGTCCGTTAAAGAGGGGTGTCCGCTTAATAGGGGTTATGATAATAGTATTTTATTAAAGGAAACGAATGGGACCTGAGATATGTGTCCGCCTAAAAGAGGTGTCCGCTTAAGAGAGGTGTCCGCTTATAGGGGTTCGACTGTATTTTGAACGAAATTAGCTCTACGCAATAACAATTACCAATCCTATAGGCTAACCACATGTACGCAATGCGTACCTAATTTTAAATAAATTATCTTCAAAATGAATTTACATGTACTACTTACTTCCCCATGATGAACTGGAATATCCGCCGAAGATGTATTTTCCAACTTTTATGAGAGTAATTGTTCTCCCAATATTACCACATTGAAGATGAAAAATGGTCGATAGCCATCCATCTTCAGAAGCCCGATAACAGCGATTCAGCGAACTAAATGAGATCCACTGTTTAAGATTTTCAAGAAATTCTGCCGGTTCATTTCTCAGTACAGTTGAAGTTGAAATGTCTCCTATGAATTAGAGATAGATAATGCACTGTTTATACTTTAGAGCGCACTGTTTCTATACAGGGGCGTGGAGACCGGGGGTTGGCTTGGTGCGGTACCCCCATAATAATTCTAAGTATTAAAAAGTTGGTCAAACAATATTTACTGCCAGCTGGTCAAAAGGCATTGAGAAAAAATGTGCTGAAATTTAGGAAAGTTTGTTGTCAATTCGCGCTCGGCAGTTGGTCAACAGCTTTTCCAACCCAAATCCAACAACATTAATATAATTCTTTTTCACGTGCAGTTGCATTTCGCTTCTGTAGTCTATTGTGATATTCTGTAATGCGTTCTGTGTTTCTGTAGCTATTTATCGATTAATCAGCAAATACAGCGATAAAATTAACATTTCGCACTATTTATGCAATGATCCTTTGCTATAAATCAGCCATAAAGAAAAGTAACAAAATTTTATCGTGGTATTTGGGCATGTTGTAAAAGACGGACTGGACTGGACCAGACTGAACTGGACTGGGAAAACGCGGACTGAGTCCGTGTTTTACAAATCGCGGGCTGCGATTTGTGAAAGGCGGACTCATTCAATACCGTCACTTGCAACTAAGGATGAACGGTCGCAGGTAAAACATTGTCTATTCTCATGAAAACGTTCAATGTTTTTACCGAGAAAGTTAAATTTTTTGATGATCATTTGGTGGTTTTAAGGTGGCCGGACATTTTGCCGAAAGACATTTTGCCGGAAGACATTTTGCCGAAAGACATTTTGCCGAAAGACATTTTGCCGAAAGACATTTTGCCGGAAGACATTTTGCCGAAAGACGTTTTGCCGAACGGACATTTTGCCGACGGACGTTTTGCCGAACGGACGTTTTGCCGAACGGACATTTTGCAAATGGACACTTTACCGAACGGACAGTTTGACGAACGGACATTTTGCCGAAAATAGAGATACTTCTGAACTTTAAAGGTTCGCTTACATGGTCAACGTTTCTGTGATTAAAGTCATTAATTGTCGATTTTGACGACAGAAACTTTGATAGTGAAGTATAGTTTCGTTTTATATTCTTTCAAGTTTTTGAGAAGCTTACCGAAAATTCGCGAGATAAGGAATAACATCATTCAACATCATTCATGAATGTGATTCCCCCCTGTCGCCAAAAAAATTTCGGTCAGTGTACCATTTTAGGGGTCAAAAAAATTTTCCGGACAACCAATATTTTTCGGAACATAACACAAATTTTCGTAAAATCGCAAAATTTGCCAAAAAATTGACTTAATTTTAGACAAAATTGACAGAATTTGTCCCATTTTTTTTTATTGCAAACCAAAATTGCCCGACTTTTGATCGAATATTGCCCGACTGCCCAAAAAACTGGGGGGGCTACCGCCCCCCCCGCCCGGTACGCCTATGTGACCATATAATGGTAGTGGCGTGCTGGGTACTAATTTTCTGGGGAGGGCCAGTGGGCTTTCAACTTATATGCGCCCCTATATTGTAATGCTTGATAAACGAGTGTCAAAGGCACGAGCCGAGCGCCGCAGGTGCGAGGTTTCTCTAGGGGGGTCCGGGGGCATGCCCACTCGGAAAATGTTTGAATTTAGTGTCTCTGAAATGCCATTTTCGGGACTTTGGGGGGAAGGTTTGACAGAAATCTGATGGTCAGGAAACGGCATTATAACGTGATGAAATTTGCAATTTGGTTAGAAATTAGTAGTAGTACTTAAATTGGGCAATGCTAACTCAGTTCCAGCGATTAATCTAATCCCAATTATATTCTCTACTGATCTGGTGATCTGAATACATTTACAACATACAGCTCTTTTATATAATAACACGGCACGGACCCCACGCATATGCATTTTAAGGTTACCTTGCTTGACTGCCAAAAGGGCACGTTTCAGCATTATCTTATCACTTACATTACTCATGAGTCATGATGTTTCTTGCACAAACAACTAAATTGCGTACACAACTTACATTATCATAACTATCTAATTTGCGCCGCTCTCGTGATTCGTGAAGCATAATACCTTCATAATGTAAGGGCATAATACCAGCAAAAAAGGGCATAATTCCCGTGTTCGCTTCGAAACCTGACCAATATTCCGGTAATGAGACATTGTGTGTGATCACTGATCATGTTTCTATATGAACGATATTTTTTCAAATGCGTTTTTTCCCACCCACTTTCAAAATTCCGCACGGGACGGCGCCCCCTTTTCATTTTTGCGTCCCACAATAATTGCCAGCTGGAGGGGCCGTGGCTCCCCCCCTGCCAGCACGCCACTGTAATAATAATGGTTATTTTACACAATGGACAATGGTTGAGAATTACACAGTTGAGAAATGAGTCACAGTCCCAAACATTTTGACGAAATAATATCTTTATTTTCGGCAAGTTGTCCGTTCGGCAAAATGTCCGTTCGGTAAAATGTCCGTTCGGCAAAATGTCCGTTCGGCAAAACGTCCGTTCGGCAAAATTGCAGTTGGCAAAATGTCCGTTCGGCAAAATGTCTTTCGGCAAAGTGTCTTTCGGCAAAGTGTCTTTCGGCAAAATGTCCTGGTACCGGTTTTAAAGCTTGGATCTGGTTGTTCAACAGATTAAAATCAGATCAAAACCTGTCAAGAGCTCTTGACAAACATCGAAGATTCTCACGCGAATACCGTATTTACTCGTTTGAGCGCTGCGGCGCTCTTTAAATTTTCAGAGCTTCAGATGCGGCGCTCATTCGAGGGCGGCGCTCAATCGAGGGCGGCGCTCAATCGGGGGCGGCCAAGCCGGTAGCTGGCTCTCAATTTCTGGGGGGGCACTCACTGCAGAAAAAATGTAACGGACGGAAAAATTTTTTTCCGGAATTTATTTTGGCGACCCCCCCCCCCCTCGCCAAAAAAATTTCGGTCAGTGTACCATTTTAGGGGTCAATAATTTTTCCGGACACACTCAATTTTTCCGAAACCTAACAGAATTTTTCAAAAATCACAAAATTTTCCACAAATTTCACAGAATTTTTCCATTATTACAATTTGTTTCCAGGCCCTTTCTCTAAATTTTTCATACCCAATTTCCGAGTGGGGGGGCACTGGGGGGCACTGCCACACCGAGTGAGGGGGCATTGCCCCCCCAGGCCCCCCCCCAGCTACGGGCCTGGGGGCGGCGCTCGTTAAAAAAATCTTTTATTTGTGAATTATATCAAGAACTTTTAACAATAAATAAACAAGTTTTGAATGTCTTTGTCACTAAATGTTCTCATTTTGACGGTGGAAAATTATTACACTGTTTAGAGCGGCGCTCATTCGGGGGCGGCGCTCTTTAAAAAAATTTGATCTCAAATGCGGCGCTCATTCGAGGGCGGCGCTCAATCGGGGGCGGCGCTCAATCGAGTAAATACGGTAGGCAATGTTTTTATGAACGACCGTTCATCCAATCTCGTTCCCCGAGCCTGCGATCCTTGGGAAGGAAACGAAGGCTCTGGGATAATCCGTTGCCGGAAGCCAGGAATCCTGGCTAAGACTGAACTGCGCATTCCATATCAACGGCCAATCAAATTCCTTCCTGAAACGAATTATCCCCTCGTGTTCCTTCCCGAGGATCGCAGGCTCGGGGAACGAGATTGCCGTTCATCCTGCAAGCGACGGTGAGAGTTTTGGCGGGAATTGCACTCAGTCGTAAGAGTTTAGGCGGGAATTGCAGATAATAGATCGGTCAACGAATAATAAATTAATCATATCCTGGAGCTATAAGGTTGGTATAAATTACTATTATTTATTTATTGTTTTGAATAAACAGATGAACAACGTTCAACAATAAACAGATGAACAAGCTCAGTCATCGGTGGGATTTTCATTTGTGCCACTATTGTCGAGGAAACTTATGCGTATATCAATTGTGGCCGTTTCATATTTTATGTATTTAAATAGCTGTATCCTGTATAAAAATAGCTCTTAATATATAGCATGATCAGATACCATTTAATAGTGTAATCGAATATACCTTTTAAATTGTGTTATTATAAAACGATGAAACTCTCACAGACCATCAAAATATCAAAGGTAGTGTTGTGCGTATAAATTAAAATAAATTTAAATTTCTTAACAGTTATTGTTGTCGTACGAGGAAGTATCGTTTATTCGGATTATAGACCATTACAGTATTCATTTCGTATTTCTCGCAAATTTATAGTAACCATTTTAATACGCCCTCTTCGCCACGAACACAAAATAAACAAATTAACTCTATTTTCGTCTAATTATGGTTAACACTAAATGGTATCTGCTATATGAGGGGCGGACCATTAGAAAAATGATGGGGGGGAAGCAAAAGCAAAAATAAAAATCAAGCAGGGGAAACAGAAAAACAAAATTCGTGCACCAGAAAAGTTTAAAAAAAAAATTCGTGCAGAGACTTTTCAATAGGGAAAATTATAAGTTGACATGGCCTATCAGAGGTGCAGTGTGAGGGTGGCCCCCAAATTTGGAAAATAAAAGAAAAATAATTTGGAACGTTTTTTATACGGTAAGTAATGGTGTGATTTTTTCAGGGAAAATGTGTTTTAAACCTTAACTGAACTGTTGTTAGTCCGGAAAATTTGTTTGACCCCTTTTTTATATCCTGAAAAAATTTTTAAGTCCTGACACGCTCGCCAACAATTTTTGGAAAAAAAATAAAATTCGAGCAAGGGATTATTAAAAACAAAATCGACACAAGCAAAAAAATTTAAAAAAATAATCATACACGTTGGAAATGGACCACCCCCCCCCACCTTATCACTTTTCTAATGGTCCGTCCCTAAGAGCTGCATTCATATTAGGATACAGCCAGGGCCTATCAGAGAAATTCGGGAGTCCGGGGCGAATTTTTATTTCGGGGCGGGGGGGAGGAGGGGGGGACCAATATCTGTATAATTATTTATATAAAAAACCCGTTTTTTTCTTCTTTATTTTGCAAATTTGGGGCCCCCTTAAACTGGGGGCCCAGGGCAAATTGCCCCTTTGCTTCCCCCCCCCCCCCGTCTGAAAGACCCTGGATACAGCTATTTAAATGCATAAAATATGAAACGGCAACATTTGATATACGCATGAGTTTCCTCGCCTGAATAGTGGCGCAAAATCCCACCGATGATTGAGCGTGTTCCTAACTGTTGAACGTTGTTCATCTGTTTATTCAAAGCAATAAATAAATAATAATAATTTATACCAACCTTATAGCTCCAGGATATGATTATTCATTGACCGATCTAATATCTGCAATTCCCGCCTAAACTCTCACGACTGAGTGCAATTCCCGCCAAAATTCTCACCGTCGCTTGCAGGATGAACGGTCGTTCATAAAAACATTGCCTATTCGCGTGGCTATTACACCTAAACTACGTGCATTGCACTCAGTATTGTTTAACTTAAATTTTGATATACGCCCTGTGCAATTTCGTGCAATATAGACCGAGAGAGCTGCGTTTAAACTTGAATAAACATTTTGGGAAGTGTCGAGAATCAGCTAAAAACAGCCTGTTAAACTAATTTGATAACTGTTACCATTTTATCGTGAATATTCGTTTGAATGAAGTGAAATTTAAATTAAAAATGTTTATTGGTCCTTATTATTGGATGGATGTGCTCCTTTATTTTTGTCTAAGGTCTTTGAGAATGCACGAAAATTAAATTATGAAGCGATTTTGATTTTAAAAGATTTATTCTAAATATTCAATGTCCCTGGGGGAATCAAATCCTAATGTTGCAAGAAAGAAACGTCAACTGTTTTGGTATAAATACGCCTCGTTTAACGAAGGTCCAAAGAGTTTCGATATGTTTAGAATATGCAAGGCTAAATAATGCTCGTGAGGTTATACCGGCGGCGTTGCGCAGGTCTCTGACAACGAACGTGTACTTTATTCTGACTATAGCATCTAAGCACAGGGTATTGCAACACCGCGGAAAAACGTCTGCGCATGCACCAAATTATGAAAATATGGCGGGGAATTTGAATATCAATTTCTAAAACAAAAACATGCTTATTAATTGGTCAAAATTAGTAAAACAAACGAGAAAATATAGCAAATGGGTAGACTAGACATTAATTGAAAGCGTCCTGGCATTTAAAGTATGGAATGAAATATAATTCATGTAAAAAATGTTGATTTTAACGGACACGACTTCGAAAATTTTTGCAAAATTATTCAAAACAAAAATTCAAACTAAAAAGTTAAGAAAACTCTCGAAAAGTTAAGCTTCTTAACCCACTCAAATTGTAGAATAAATCCTAAAGTTTAATTATTGTGAACACGCAAATTTTTTATATTTGGCGACACAGTTTTTTTTAAAGAAATGTATCTCAAACGAAAATTCGGAAATTGTCATTGCTTAGTTGATAAACAAAATGTTTCAGACGATAAATTTGTCAACAATCACCTTTAGTTCATGTTCTTGTACAATACAATTTCTTGAACCTTCTGGCTGTATTTATTTCTAGTTTTTAGAATGACATGTTTATTTTTGCGCTTGAAATCTGGCTGTAAAGACGCACAATGAAGTCACTCCTTTTTACCGCCATTTTGAGTCTTCGGAAACGTTCGGAACAGCTTCTCATCAAGTTCGCAATACTATTACAGGTAAGGTTGACGCATGCGCAGACGTTTTTCCGCGGTGTTAGGTATTGCTGTATTAAATATTTGATAGGCCGTTTTTGGCTAATTCTCGACACTTTCAAAAATGGTTACTCAAGTTTAAATGAAGCTCTCTCGGTCAATATTGCAGGAAAATGCACAGGGCGTATATCAAAATTTAAGTTAAACAGTACTGAATGCAATGCACGTAGTTCACGTGTAATAGCTCTTTTAGCTTTTAAGTTAAAACAAATCAAACAGGTTAACTTTTTTAGGTTAATATATATATATATGTTAAGTTAAGTGTGTATAATTGTACACTCCGATAATCTCCTGAGGCTGAGTACTGTCTTATTGAAACACGAGGAAATAGACATACTATCGAAACTCATGTGCACACTATATAATATATTTTCTTACTGTTTATATTTCTATATGCATGTGTCGTGTTATCGAGCCGTTCCACTTATGAGTTAATTATGATTAAAATTCACTGCAATTTACAATAGACTTGCTGGCTGCTAGGCAAATGTTCTTTGCTTGTCCATGAGTATATTACAAATCCTTTCCTAGTAATTGTTTGCGATTTTCCCAATATTAAACTGAACGACTCCAGAATGTAGATCTTGCGTAGCGACGTCGCAAATGCAATCCACAAAGAATAGATATACAAAGACATCTCACCCATTGATTTTGCAACACAAGCTCTTGCTATTCGTTAAAATTACATGCATTTGCTAAAATACACACACTCTGAACTTTATCGAATTGATATCGGCAACTAGATCGGTAAAACAAACTTAGCCTCCCACCCTTATGTAAAAATGTTGTTATCTCTCAAAATCTGGGAGACACGTGCCAGTCTGGACCAGGGTCTTTCCTCCAGCGAGGTGCGAAGTGGAAAGAGCTTGGGAACGAGGTTGTTGTTAATTTTTGAAAACAGGCTAATAGAATGAGGCTTGTTGGGAACATTTGCCTATCATATTTCATTACGTAATCGTAAGCCTTTCTTATTACGTAAGTCACTTATGCATTACTGTGCGGAACTTACGAGAATGCAGTAGGTTGATCATCAGTTCCAGTTTTGAAATAGTTTCATTGTTGATCTTAAGTACCTTCATTAAAAAGTAAAAAAATCAAGACCATTTTATGTATTATTATAAAAAAAATATCGTATGCAATCAAATATATCGTATAATCTTATTAACTCTATCGCCGTTATCAAGTTTAAAAGTTAATATCTCCTAAACCAGAATTTTATGACTTTTCCTAAATATTTATGGGTTTCATGTGTGGAAAATTTGGTGATATTACGCCAAAAATTTTACAGTGTAATCGTGAACACCTACCAACACCAAATTCTAGCATTTTTAATGATATAATAGTTGCAATAAAAGTAAGCATTTTTTAATAAAAAGAAACTACTTTTTTGATAAACTACCTTTTTTATTTTAACATGCAAAACAGCTAAAAATTACAATAAGGAAAATAATTTTGAAAATTCTAAAAATCAGGCTTTCGCAATTAATTACGTCATAATGACATCATAATTTGTTGCCATGACAACTGGCATAAGTATAACATATACTTGAACAAGGCATGCCATCCACCTGTAAAAATTTCGTCGGAATACACTAGATAGTTCAGGAGATATTGACAGCGAGCACTCTCCGTACCCCCCCCCCCCCGCCCTAGTCCCAGAAGATCCCAAAAAGTCTAGTCTGGATAGGGTTAAGCATAAAGGTTCTTTTTCGGGAGAGAATAGCAAAAGAAACACTGCTAGAAAAATGCAAAGTAATGAAGGTTTAGAGAAAGGCTAGTAGATGCATGAAGCATGTAAACCTGTAAATTTGGATGCAAAGATATTAATTTTGGAAAGAGAGAGCTTTACCATCTCCTCTTCCGCTACAACTTTCCACGATTCGGTTTTTCTTAAGCGGAGTATTTCAGCGTCCTTCTGATAAGTCAACAATCCAGTAATTTGTGGCACATTATCAAAAGTGACATCATCAGGAACAACCACAATCTAAAATATATTCGAACACAATATAATTATAAAGAGAGTAGTAAGTAGATACAGCGATACCGCCTGTTAAGGTGGCTCAATACAGTTTTTTAAAAATGGAAAATTCACGATTTAGATGCGCAGTTTTGGACAATTATTACTTGTTGATAAACAAAAAGTACCTTACTTATATAAAACAACATCTAAAGAGTTTGATTTTTTGTACAAAAGTTACGCAACCGCCGTTGGTATGGCAACAATGACGTGTGAAGATGGCGGATATTTTGGCTTTAAAGTAATTTAACTCGTAAACGACATCTGTGACCCCCAAATTTTATTTTAGAAAATTATTTCTTTTAGTATAATCAATAATTTTGACAATTTAAAAAATATTCTGTGGAGTCAAAATTTTCTAAATTACGTATTAAAAGGTGATTATTCATAATAATATTTTTTTAGCTCCACAGAATTTTTTAAAATTGTCAAAATAATTGATTATACTAAGAGAAATCATTTTTTTAAAAGAAAATGCGCCGCATTTTCAAAAAAGGCCCTGGAAACAAGGTTGGAATGTTGCGAGAGTTAAAAGCGCAAGAAACACGAGCCGAAGGCAAGTGATTTTGCGCGCTTTTCTTAACTCGAGCAACATTCCCAAGTGTTTGGATCAGGCCATCCAAACACGGAAACCATAAAATAATTGTTTTATAAAATAACGACTTTCTGTGTTAAAATTTCACTTTAAAAAACTTTCACTTTAAATTTCCGTGTTTGGATGGCCTGATCCAAACACGCGTTTCGACTAATCAGAGCACGCGTTATACAGCTATTTCAATTAAGGTTGTCCCCCGAGCAAAGCGGAAAAGTCGAACACGAGCACGGAAGGCTGCTGGGAATCGCTAATAAATTCATTCATTTATTAACGATCCCCAGCAGCCTTTCGCGCTCGTATTCGACTTTTCCGCTTTGCTCGGGGGACAACCTTAATTGAAATAGCTGTATACATGTTATTTTATAAAGGTATTTCAAACATTCATTATATATTCATTTAAAAATGGTCCAATATTATGTGCCTGGTAAAATTCGTCCTGCTAAAAAGCAGCACAAGAGAATAACCACTTCGTCTTCGGCGAGTAATTTATCTGAACAGAACTTTGAATTCTTACCCCATCATTTAAAATGGCTTCATTTTTTCCACATCGACCCTATATTAAATAAAGCACCTTTTACTATAACAGGTAACAATAAATATCAATCATTAAATCGATGCTTATTTCCTTTGACGGTATCCATATATCAAACCATCAGTAAGTTAGCGCCTGCTTAAAAAATTAAAAAAGAGAATTTCGATATTTGGAGCAAATTGAAGTACTTTGTCTGAAAGTAACAAAATGGTAGTGACCATCTAACAAAAGCAAAGTCATTCAACATGCAATATTATAAGAATTTCCTCCAGTTCTGCAATAACGTTGTGCTGCATGTAGACCTAGTATATGTATTATGATCTTTTTATATCTAACCTTCACAGGTGTATTTCTATCTCCAACCAATTTGTACCATGCTGCATCACCATTCTCCTCTTCAGTCCTGTACTCCATGCATTTCTCCCAGACTTTCTGTGGGGGATTCAATCTTACCCAAAACCAAGCATGAGCGTTCGTTGTAATGTTACAGATTTGAACACCTTGTTTGAGGAGATTCCTGATTATCCGTTAGATGTAAACATGAATTTGACAAATACTGCATCGGTCTTGAAAAAACTGAAAAGCTTGAACCCGCATAAAGCTCCGGGCCCGGATGATATCCCCAATTGGATTCTTCGTGATTATGCCGAAATCCTTGCTCCCTCTGTATCGGACTTATTGAATTCGTCCTACAAGCAAAAAAGACTGCCCTCATGCTGGAAACAAGCTAACATTACACCTATTCCGAAAGAGAAACCTGTTAAAGACATAAGCAAACAGCTCCGACCTATTTCGTTAACTCCGGTTCTGTCTAAACTTGCAGAAGAGTTTGTTGTTGAAAACTATATCGCTCCAGCAGTGTTGTCGTCAATTGATCCTTTTCAATTTGGTGGCATCCCTCGATCATCTGCTACAAAAGCCTTAATTTCTATGGTTCATGCGTGGACTCAAGCCACAGATGGAACTGGAAACGCTGTAAGAGTGGTTCTTTTTGACTATAAGAAAGCCTTCGACTTGATTGATCATAAGATCTTAGCCACGAAAATCATCCAATTGCCAATGCCAAATTTCATTAAGCGGTGGGTAATTGACTTTCTGATGAACAGGCAACAACGGGTGAAACTTGCAAGAGACTGTATGTCTGAATGGATTGACATTCCTTCCGGTGTCCCTCAAGGAACCAAATTGGGACCTTGGTTATTCATCCTAATGATAAATGACCTACGCCCCCCACATCATGAGCGATGGAAATACATCGATGATGCTACGGTATCTGAAATCATTTACATCAACACACCCAGTAAAATTCAAGATACAGTCGATTGTGTTCAAAAGTGGTCTGTAGAAAACAAGATGCAATTAAATGCCTCCAAGTGCAAGGAACTTGTTATCAGTTTTACAAAACCTGAGAAAGAATTTCCGCGCCTTAAGATCATCTCAGGCCAAATCGAGACAGTGAAGCACGCAAGAATCCTAGGTTTGACAATTTCTAAAGATCTAAAATGGAACCAACACATAACTAACATAGTTAAGAAGGCGAACAAACGGATTTATTTTATTATTCA